GAAATAGATTGATAAATATCTTTTAAATAAAGGCATACTTGCATCTAAGAACCAATTTTCTCACATACGAAAATTCGCCATCTTTAATTTTGAACCAGAAATCAGCTTTTAACACGCGATTATTTTAAAAACAAAAGAAACGACCGCAATTTAGGCTATTGGATGAACGCGGGCCTTAAACAACTGGACCATAGGATGAATGCACTACTATCCCCAGGCTTGTCCTATTGGGCTATTACTTGAAGTCCATGTCACGTAAGATCTAATTGTTTAGTAGGTCATTAATAAGATAAAATATTAACTTATCATTGCGAATGATAGTTCATATTCTTGATTTGCCATTTCTCCTCTAATAATGGTCTATCATAAATTCAACCTCTAGTTGAGTAGCCAATCAGAATGCATGCATTAGTGGTAGATTACTAGTATGTTTAAACTGAAGATTGATAAATACTTTCTAAATTATGTGTCTGTGATTGAAAATCAAAGCGTTACAAATAATTTCTTTTGATCACGTTTAGTGTTTTTAAGGAATGTCATGTCTTTTAGTAACACTTTAGTTTACCAAGTTTATAGAAAGCATCTTCATTGCTATCATCAGTATCGCCAAACCTCATCTCTTTCACCGGTAGGGTTGTCTTATCTGTCAGCAGACCGCGGTCCCTACGCCACCCACCAGCACTATTATGACAATTGCACCCTTTGCCGTTGTGGCAAGTGTTTGTCATACCACAAGCACATTTTTTGCTTCCTGGCGTCGCTCCTCCCCAGTAATACTGCTTTACCCCGTCACGTGACACCCACCACGCAGACTGCTCACCAATAAAAGCTACATCACCAGTACAATTATATTCGATATACTGTTCGCAATGTGCTGATATTTGAGTCAGTTTTGCTAACTGAGTGAAAGACGCCCAGTAATAGGTAACACTTCGTGTACATGATGGATCACTTGGACAATTGTTTACTCGAGTTCGAGCCTCGCTGTTGTGACTGACAACCGTTACCCCCACCCCACCCTTGTCTGTCATATTACAATGCACGTTGAAATGTGCTTTTCCGTACTGACCATCAGGATCAATGGTGTAGGTGCCAGAACTTGAGGCGGGAAATACCTTCTTTTGCTCATTACAAGACTTTGGAGTTGCTGAAAATAATAATAAAAGAATGGTCTTCGAAAAATTACATCATGACTATTAATGCAGGTAGGAGATTAAATTGAAATTATAAGAAATTATAATAAAACACAAAACTATGAACAACACTCTAATTAATTCAAATACAGAACAAGGGATAGAATAGGAGAGAGGTAGTTCTTTGTTAGTAGCAGGACTTGCCAAGAAATTTTGATAAATTGTAACACAGCAATTTTCTATATTTTTAGATTTCGGGCAAAGTTTTTATGAAATAGACATGTATAGGTGTAAAAACAGCAAAACATTTTTACTCACTTCTACAGGTGGGTCGTCCATCACCGAAACCACTTCGACAACGGCAAGTGTGAGATCCAGGGGTATTAGTACAGTTTGCATTTGCATGGCAAGGATAGACGCCAGACGAGCATTCATCAATATCTTGAAAAATGAATAAAAATTTTAAAAATCAACTGAATATTTGATTCAGTAGAAAATGAAATTGTAGATAATAATAATGACAACTCGAATATTCTTAAAAACTATAGCAGGCCAAGCAATTAGGAAGAGCCTGAGAAACGGATAGTTATCCACCTCTTGATTTCATCGGCGGCAAGTATATGCCTCAATTTTATTAGTGCTTTGCATTACCATTGCAAGTATGTTTACATGTTGAGCATTCATCGACATTTAGAGTAAAAAAAGTGCAAAGCTGCACTATTAATAACGGCAATTGAACTGATTGGAGTGCAATTTGGTGAGAAATCAAACGAATTTCATCGCCTTCACTATCCTTACGTTGTTGCCTTTCTCCTTCAAATAGCGGTCAAAGGAGCTTTTTATCTGCCTTAAGGCTGATTCTGGTTGGTAGTTGTCGACTTTTTGAATTCTTACTCTATCATAATTTTTAAAAGTAACACAACACTTTTGAATTTAAAAGATATTAGTCACTGATACCTGAGCAATTCTTTCCGTCACCACTGAAACCAAGACGACAACTGCAAGTGTAGGACCCATTGTTATTTGTGCATTGCGCATTGGGGTCACAAATATCAGAAACTGAAGAGCATTCATCGATATCTAAAAGAAGATGGTCAAACTTGTTAACAAACAGTTGGAAAACAAAATATTGAGTTTAAAAGCACTGAAAAAAAAAACACAAGAAGAAAACAAAAACAAAAATGAAGCAAAACAAAAGAAAAAGAAAATATATACATTTATTATATAGATGATTTCCAACGCGCGCTCTGATTGGCCAAAAAAGTGTGGTTTATGAGAGTATAAACCACGGCTGAGCCTTATTTATTTGTTAAATAAATAATTTACATGCCATCTTCATAGCCTACAAATTTACTTAAAAAAAATACAAATCAATGCATATTTCATATTTATATATTTTATTGTTATTATTGTATTTTAGATTTATCTTGATGGCCCAGTGGTAGATTAGTCTCTGACTAAACTGGTTAACCATCATTAAATAAAGATTTTATTATATTATTATTATCATTATTATTATTATTATATCAATCTACAAGGAGAGTTTATATATAAGTTTGTTTACACATGTGGAAAATACAAAATGTAGCCGAAGCCGCTAAGTGTGTAGATCGAGTTTACAACAAAAATATGATTCCGAGCTTTCGCTGTCTACAGCATCATCAGGGAATGAGCGAGATAGAATAAACACGTAAAATATACGGCGAAGCGATCAAGCGTATAGATGGATAGTCAAAGGGCGAACAAAGGGCAACGGGCGAACAAAAGGGAACATTGTCAATTAGAATAACAAATCTTGTAGTTCTTTGTGTTCKTCGCGTGAATTGATGGTGGGCGTTAAAGATTTTATATATAAGGCTTCCAAGAGGCGTAAGTTGGCGGGATCCCTGTCGCGTGCGATTACTCTAATTTTGATTTCTTTGGTTTTCGAGCAGGTGTTCAAGTGTGAAAAGACCGACGATTCTGTGGTTGTGAGATGTTCTTTTATCCTGTCGTGTAAATGTATGATGGTACTGCCGATGTATGTGGATCCACATTTTGCGCATGTGATTTCATATACTGACAACTCCGCGTTGGAAACACTTCTTTGATTCAACTACAGGACAGTTGACGATTTTGCATGTATATCTTTCAACCGGACGTTTGAGAGCGTTACACACAAATCACAAACTATGCGTTTGTTTACACAGTTAGTTTTCGGAAATAGATATTACGAATACCTGAGCAATTCTTTCCATCTCCATGATAACCAGGCTTGCACTGACAGACGTACGACCCAAATGTGTTTGTGCATTGTGCATTAGCATGGCAAGCGTCAGCCACAGAACATTCATCGAAATCTGAAAGGAAAAAATCGCACTTTAAAGCTAACGTTCTGTTCATGAACTTCAGGTGTTGAATCTCAAATCATATAAAATTCCTTGAAGCCTTAGCTTATATCATTCGCAATTCTTTTTTTCACAAATTTTCACCCCCTTCATCAATATCTTATGTTTCCTTTGACCCAGTTACTGCTTAATTATTACCTAGAGGATTTGGATTCATAACATGAGAAGCATCTTTGTTTAAGACTGTCTTGATTGGTGCATTCTCAACTGTCCTGCTATTGAGTTCGCACGTGGAATTGCTATTGTAAAAGTTGATGCTTTCACAGCCTCCCGTTTCAGCACACTTCTTATAGCAGCTATCGATATTGTCCATCAAGAAGGATTCCATGACGTGGTCAACGAGGGCTATTCCGCCAACTGTGACCTTACATTTGGATGCATTGGCTACTTGATAAGCACAAATGCAAAGTACAGCGAGAATAAATGGCAAAAGTTTCATTCTTGTCAAAATATTGTAGTTGAGCAATGGATGCTTGCTGATCAGGCAGTGATAACTGAACAAGACAATTTGACCGCGGCGATAAATACTCTTGATCGCGGGAGGAGCTAGTAATTGCGTGATTGCTCACATATCGTATTTTTTTTTTAATTGTCGTGGTAATGTTAATACCTGTCCTGTTTAGCTAAGTACCTTTGAGCGAAATTGATTTTGACAGTGAACAACAGGAAGAGGACGGTTGAAAGAGTTACCAAACAAAAGTGAACTACTATAGGAAGTGAACTTTTAAGCTCACTTTTGATTTTTAAAAAAATTATGAAAGAAGGGCAAGAAAAGATGACCAAAATTGAAAGCTGTTAAGGAGGAAAGT